TACATTTTCATTCTCTAATCGCCGTCACTTTCCCTAGAATTATACGTCAACACACATCTGCCACGGAAAACATTTTTCCTTTTTCAATTAGATTCCCCACCACCAGAGGCTATTGATATCTCTTAACAACTCACTCCAGAGAACAATGCATTTCTGGTTATATGGTGCATGGGAAAAATGCTGTGCTTATTTCCCAAATTTCTATTGGGGGCATTCTTTCTCCTCAGCTCTTCAGTCGAGAGAGGTGCCTGCTGAATGGGTGCAGGACAGCAGTGCTTACCTGGTTGTAGTGAGTCTCGCAGTAAGCCAGTCCTTTTTTCTCGTAGTGGCGGTGCCCCAGAAATGGCTTCTCACATTTGGCACAAACAAAATGCTGCAAAAGTAAAGGGCATTCAGTGTTGGTGGAAGGGCCTCCACAGCTAGAAGACATGCATGGTCGCTGCCCCCAAAATAAGCCAGTGGTTTGCACAAGAGTTTCAGATCTTTATACAAAGACAGACAAGAAAACCCTGCAAGAATCTTGTGGGATGGTGATGGTGGGACGCTATGACAATCTAAACGACAGTCACGGGAACAAAGTCACAGCAAGGTTAGAAGACAGTAGTAAACATACCTGCACTCTGGCTACACAACAGAGTCTACCACTACCATCATCTGTTGAGCTGCACTGTACAAAAAAATTGCTTCCAAGATTTGGAAGGTCAGATGTGTGACTCAAGAACCTCTTAATGCCAACTGGCAAAGGGATGCAGAGCGGTTACAGGAATCTCCTGATTTTGATATGTACATTCTGGTTCAAAGAATGTCTTGTGAGATCTCAAATGAAAGCTGGTGCCATGCTGGTTATCAATACTGTTGTGACATGTGTACAGATACTATGTAAGGAGTTATATAGTTATACACACACACACACACACACACACACATATATACATATACACACAAAATATGTTCTTAAAGTCTGTATGGGAGAGTTGGACAGCATCAAAGGTGAAAAACAAGTTTTCTGTCAGACAAAAGGTGTTTATTCATCTCTCTTTACATGTAAATTGAATATTGTCTCATTCACTACTGGTCACTTATTGCCAGTCAGAACTAAATGCAACGAAGGATTCTGCAGAATTCAGAGAAAAAGTCTACCAGGAAGAGAAAAGCAATAATGCTTAGGGGAGATGGGGGGGGAGGGAACCCTATCTAGAGATATACCTCAAAGGTTTGCTCCACTATATTTGGGAGGCAAAGACAACATCCTGGCACCCTTCATTAAGGGAATAAAAGGACAGTGCTTCTGCTTCATGAAGAAGAGTCTTGGTTGAAAATGCTGAAGAGAATTTTGGGTGAGAGATGCTTCTTTAGACAAGACAGTAACTTGTTAGTTAAGATTAGTCTCTAGAAAGCATGTTATGATTTTGTTTTACACAAAACCATTTGTTTCCAATATTCTCTATTTCTTTGATAATATATTTATAGTGAAAACAAGAATATATTTTTCTAAGTGATGTGGTAGTAAGCAAAGTGCTGGCTCTGAGTTGAATCTTACATGCTGGTGTGTCTTGTTCCTTTGGGAAAGGCAGACCTGGTAATTTTGTGAGTGTCCCACAGATAAGGGATTGGATATTACAGGGATTCAGGAGTTGGTGTGTGCTTATGGCTACCTGTACAGTGAGAATGAGGACTGGAAGGTAGTGCTTGTGCTACCAGAGGCTGGTGGTTTCAGGGAGCTGATCCACCACAGGCAGATTCAAGCGTGCTTCACACTAAGGGCAGATGGTGGTGAGGTGTCTCACAACCCGGGTACCCCTGGGAAGTGTCACAACGATGTTACAGTTTGTTACTTAGAGCTGAAGGGAAGGACATAGAGAGGATGTACATAACTTCAGTGGTAAATACTATTTTGCAGACCCCAGAATCTTTGCAATGTAATGCAGAAATTTTAAAATAATTTTCCTGAGAGTAAATTAAACAATGGTATTGTTACTGTGCAAAAGATGAAGTGCACCATTCACAACTCTAGTGCATGTGACTTACCCAGGTAAAGCTCACCCCAGGTAAATACAGTCTGAATTCGGCCTAAACAGGAATGGTGGAAATTTCTAATGTTCACCATAACAGCCTCCAACTTGCATTAGACCTCTGGCAGTATGCATTCCACAGGCAGCTTCACACTGATCTCACCTCAACATGCCATTGCTTCCCCAGAGCATTGACCACTCGTCCTTCGATAGGCCTGCGACAGGCTCCACAGATTGGGATACCCATCTTGTCATGGCAGGGCAGGCAATAGAGTTCCCCTTTCAGCTCCCTGGCCTCAGCAGTCAGCTCCTTCCTGAAAACAACACAAACAAGTGTTCTTGAAGCAACAACACTGACCCAAGCCCCAGCCAACAGCTGTTTCACGATTAAACCTTACATGAGCTTCCCTCCAGATGTGAATATCTAAGATGAAGCTGTGGAAGAGTGAACTTCAAAGCCAACTTCCATGTTTTGGCCCCCATCTACACTATAAACACAGGAATCCTGAATTATGCTTGTGAAACATGACTGTGGTCAAACCACTTTATAACATGCTAGTTATCTAATAGGTCTTTCTGTCCACAAATGCAAGGCTAAATCATGCGGAGCAGTCTGGCCACAACCATGTTTAAACAAGGTTATTTTTGTAATGTAAACAGGACCTTTGAGAGTGGCTCATTTCCAGGAACTGCCCAGTAGACAATGGTGCCCAGTAAGCAATGCATGGAGGAAGGAAAACCCTATATAGCTGAACAGAAGAACTCCAATTCTTCTATCCTTTTGATTCCAATTTTTTTGATCTTTCACATACAGAACTTCTTGTCTGCCGGACAACTTAAAGGCTGCAAAGTGTAGCTGACGATTACAGAGTCCAGAAAGAGACTGAACTGTTGTCCATACAGTATATTTCCCTGGTTTATTGATGGAAGTTGGGAGAGGAGAACATACCCGCAGTGGGTGCAGTTGAAGTGATCTGGATGATAGGAGTCATTCCTGAACATCAGAGGCTGCTCATCGATTATCAGGTGGCACTTCTGACAGATATACTTGCCTAGCCCCTTGGCTTTCTCCCGATTATGGCAAGGCCTGCACAGGTGCCTGGGTGTGAATTGGAAAGAAAGGGTAGCATTAGTACTGTAGAGTCTTTCTAGAAGAGAGTCGTGCTCTGCACATTTTTGGTTAGGGTTACAGGTTTCTGTAACCTTCTTCCAAAGACAGCAGCCACTGTTCTAACCCCACTGCTCTAGAGGATGGGAATTAAACATCATCTAATGGTGCTAGTGTTAACCAAATCCTGAAGTAGCCTTGTAACTCCATCTGCCCCATTCAGATACAGTTAGGTATTTCCTAGGCCTCCTTATGTGGCATTTCTTCTCTTCACTACAGGTATCAAGTACAGTAAAAACAGTAGACAGTTTAGCAGTCTCTAATTGCAAGTGTGTGCTCAGCTTACAAACACAATGGAGACTGCACGTGGGCCCGAATCACTATGCATGAAGCGGCTGCTTTTGTATGTAGCAATAAAGACACTCATAGGTGTGCATATCAGAGTAGCTAATAAGTGTCTTAACACAGTGGAGAGCTTGTGTGCACATATGCATGTAAGTATATTCCTACAAATCTATAAATGTGTTTGTGTTTACATAAATCTATGCACACAATCCTCTGACTGCTCTGTTGAAAGGAGTTCACTCTCAGTGCTCCTCTTGAAGGTACATTGCTAAAGTGCCTCCACCATGGTTGGATCCATTAGTCCTCACTAACCAGGACAAACCAGAAAGTCTTTGAATCATAGCCCTTCTACCCAAAAGCTCCCTATTAAGTTTAAGTTTAAGACAAACAAGGGAGTCTGCAGCTCTGTGCTGCAAACACTTAATATTTTTCAAACTGCAACAGAAGCACAAGTCCTGGTCGGGCATGCGACTGACATTGCTGGGAGTGAAGTCTGTGACAAAAGGGATAAAAGATAAACAGCTGTAAAGGTCAGTGCTCCTGTTTACACAGAGACCAATCAAAAAACAAGGAGCTGAATCAGCCAGTTTGATGCTCAGTATTTAAAAGCTCTCATGGGGTGGTCTTTAGTTTAGTTCACCCATCAGCTGTCTTCCCAGCATTAGTGTTGTTTGCTGGGTGCGGAGGTTTGGCTAAATTGAACACATATCAGGCAAATGGGGGAAATAATCTATGCCTGTTTTTTCACCATTGTCCAACCTGACAAAAGCATGCTTAGTTCCCCCTCACTACAGTCACACGTACATCCCTGGTTAAGATTTAAAGGTATTCTCCCAAAGAGCCCATCAACTACAGGTAAAAACGGTAAAGGAAAGGTGGTGTCATAGCTAATGCAACAAACTGACTAGGAGTCAGAAGATCTCGCTTCTATTCCAGGCTCTCTCTTGGATTTCATGTGGGACTTTGGGCAAGCCACTTAACCGCAGGTTTCCCCATCTGTAAAATGGGGCTAAGAATAATTCTACGTGACACAGGGGTGTTGTGTGGCCTCAAACATTTATGATCCTCAGATGGAAAGCGCCTGCATAAGCTGAAAGTATGATTATTATTTTCTCACTTTTTAAGTCCTCTCTTGTGTAATAGTCTCTTTGCAGGGCTGGAACCACTGTCCTCCCAGATGGAGCCACAGTCCCCACAAAAAGCAGACAGCGCCCCATTATAAGAGATCATGCAGCTGTGCTCATCCCTGGATAAAGGCATCAATTTTATTCAGCACTGTCAAATGGGGACTAATTATACAGGGCAGGACACTGGGACCCTGCAGCAAGTGTCCTGAAAAAGACCCCTCTCATTCAGCTGAATAAGGGGCCTTCAACCCTTTGCACTGATAAACCATTATCAACCCCTCCCCATTCACAAACCCTCTCTGCTGTCCCATAGACCCTCCTCTATTGCAAGCAAAGTGAAGTCTTGGAATCGCAGAGCTGTTGCCATAGCAGCCGCCCCTCTCACCCCCACTCCCACCATTATGGAATTATCCCATTCTCAAGTGTCCTGTTGTGTCTATTAATACCAGACTCCCCCCCTGCACAATACCCTTTTCCACCCCTCTAAAATAATCACAGAACTCCAAAGAGTCAGTGTAAAAGACTAGGGGGGTTCAGAAAGACTTTAATAAGCAGGACAAACACTGAAATATTCAAAAATATAACAGCAGCAGCGGTTTGCCCCTTCCAAGGCTTCAGCTGGAATGAAAACTGCCTTTCATTGCAAGTGTGCCATCTCCTCTCCTCTGTTGTGTGAGCTGATAATGCACTATCAGAGCTAGCAGGACTCTATATAGAGGGGCTCTCTCTTCCACCCTCACTAAGTCTGAAACGATCTGCTCCTTCTGAATCATCAGACGGCTTTCAGCTTTGACGCTTCCCCTTGATTCACTGGCGTCAGAAGGAGCTCCCAGAGATTTACTCTAGAAGGACTTTACCCTTCACCAGTAGGACTGCACCGTCAAGAGGTAAGAGAACTGGCTTTGGCTAGTAGAATAATGGAGGCACTTTCCTGGTGGCTTTATGCTGTTGTAGTCGAGTCAGTGAGGGTGGTGGGAGATGTACAGAGTGGCTAATACACATAGTGTATGAGTTGTTAAACAAATAGAGTCCACAAAGAATTTCATTATAATCACTCTTGTCCTCTAAATTAGAATAGCTTTCCAAATGTCTCCATTTTCAGCCATTAGTACAGACAGGCATACACCACAAACATCACCCCATTACAGTATTAATTTCCCATGGGCAACCGAGTATACTCAGCCAGAGGGGAGTCAGCTCTGGAGGGAGTTTCATCCAGTGTTAAACAATTTTTTGGGAAAGATGCAAGATCTTCCTGCTTGACAAAGCATTTCCACCATCATCAGCCCTGATCATTTAAAACAAAACAGATCATTCCCCAGGCAGAACCACCTTTAATCAAAAGAATGAGAGAAGAGCAGAAAACTGTGAAGTCCACCTGAGAACTCATCATGCGTTTCTAGCTGGGAAGCACTTAGATTGTAGCAAAAACCAAGCTAGCTTGATTTCTTATTTAGGATCAACTAGAAAGTTTTGCTTATTCTTCATCAAGCCTTTTATTAACAAATAGGTAGAGCACCCGTTGGAACAGTAATATCGTAGTATAAACTATCCAAGAGAGTATCAATGTAGTGTGGCTGTGAGAGAGGGGGAGGGCCATAAAATATGGCTATATGCACACATTCTAAATGACTAACTACATCCCTGCTTACAAATCAGCTATGGGAGGCTTGGAATAATGGCTAACCCCAGAATAGAGCTCTATTCAGCAATCTGTAAATCACTAAATTCTCACACTACCCCAGCAGCGCAAGTCAAGTGGAATTCTGGGCTTGGGAACCAGACAACTAAAGAATTATTCTGTCTACAGATTCAGAACCTCTTGCATTGTAGAACAAGTCCCGGAAACTAGATAATTTTAAAAAGGAGATATGATTTCTAATTAGCTTCAAACAAAAGCATTTGTACATGCTACAATGACAAGTTTATTAGAGATTCAGAGTTATTCTACAGTGTACCACAATAAAGCAAAAATAAACTAAAAACCTAATACAAAAATGTGCACGTTTATTTTGAATCAGATTTTTAAAAAAAAATTATAATAATTTGCTAAACCTTCTTCATATGTTATTACTAGAGACACAGAGTAAAGCCATCACTGGTTTTCCACAGCTCTAGTGTTATTGTGCTATAAACACTTAAAGCCGCACATTTTTTAAATTAGCATTTCAATTCTGAAAGCCAGTGCAGCAATTAATTCTAGTGATACATAAACTTCTCCTGAGCTATTCAAATGCCAAGGACACCTTCATTTTCATGTCAACAATCAACACTAATGGCTTCAAAAATTAAAGTACGTTAAAACAGCACGAGTTAAAACTCTCGGAGGATCATTTGAGTTTAGAACCTAACTGAAAGGGTTTTGTAATGTAGCAAATTGCTGGCACTACTATGATGGGTCCCGTGCTTTCTCTTCTTGTGGGGGTGTTCAGGGCCCCATTTCTCGCCCCTCATCTGGGGTATTAACTGTCCCACTAGTATCCCAGAGAAGGGGAGTGGAGAGGGAGGGACCCAGGCCCGCCCTCTACTCTGGGTCCCAGCAGAGGGGCCCTAGGGATAGCGGCAAACCACTTGAACTAGCGATTCCTTCCCCTGGGCTACTTCTCTCTCTGGCCCTTCATCTTGTGGGTCTTCCTACCCTCTCTGCTTGGGCAAGGTTTCTCCCAACCCTTTGTGTCTGTGGAGTCCCTCTGCTCTGTACAAGCCAGGTTTCCCTTTACCTAGGGTCTTGGTCTTCTGGCCCGCCACAGCACTTTTCCAAACTCTCCTCTGCTTCCCTCAAAACTGCTCTCCTTCAAACTACTCTCTGCTCCAATGCCAAACCACTCTGCTTCAACTCCTCCAACTGTCTGATTGAAGCAGGGTGTTTTTTTTTTTAACCAGGTGACTGGCTTCAGGTGCTCTAATTGGCTTAATTGGCTTCAGATGCTCTAATTAAACTGTAGCAGCCTCTCTTCCCTCTACAAGGAATAAGGCTCTCATCATCCTGGGGCTTACATATCTCCCCTCTATCACTCTCCTGTTGCCCTCTGGCCATGCTGTATCACAGTAAAAAGAGCCATTTATTTTCTTCACACCTTCTGACAAATAAAAAAAAAAGAAAGGCCCTCACAGGGTAACATATGTAACAGCAGCTTCCTCCCATGACGATACTGACTTTTGACAGATAAGAACATATGTGCGCTAGATCCATCAACATTTAATCAACTCCTGCAGCCCTAATCCCCAAGATGTTTCTCCTCCCTGTGACTACCCTACTAGACTTCTTGATATTCCCCACTCAACCCCCTGCAGTCCTGTGGTGAAATCCTGGCACCACTGAAGTCAAAAGAAGTTTTGCCATTGACTTCAACAGAGCCAGGATTTCATCACTGGTGTCTTTGCTATTCTGTGTCAGATACTGACAGAAAACTGAGCTCAAACCCCAAAGATCATAGCTCAATGCACCACAGGAAGTCAGTTCTAACAGAGTCTGATCACTACAGAGAATTTTAAGAACATGATAAAATGCATGTCACTCTGAGGCCCTTAATGTTGGGGCTGCAGATGGAGAGCAAACTGTTGCCCGGAGGAAGATTCCACCAAAGAGCTGGCCTACAGCAAATGAAATCTCTGTCTGGACTGTAGGAGACCCGATGCCAGCCTTTTAGACTCACATCCACCTGGTGTTTCATTTTTAACAGGGTGTTATAACTGAATATAAAACTAATGGCTAACCACAGTGTAATCTAAGTCTTGCTATGCAGGATCATGCCTCCTTACACATTTCTTTGTGGATGGGATTAGTTAAATAAATGGAGTGGCAGCACAAAGAGTGTAAATTCAAAGAGTCACACAACGAGTATTAATGTGGATGTGCCCTGTCTTTAATAGCCATTAAAAGGGTAAGGTTTCATCCTCCTTTGGTGTAAAATAGAAAAAATAAGAAAAATTCCTTCCGATAAGGATAACAAGTCTCTAAGCTTCCAATACCACTTTCATTTAGGGACTAAACTCACAAGGTTTTTTCCAAAGACACTAGGACCCAGAGTTTCAAAGAGACAAGTAACACCAGCAAAGATGTGCACACTCCACAAACACTGTCTTTGCATGTGCACACCCGGGAAGCATGTACACAAAGAGGCAAGTCTCATAAGGACATAAGAACAGCCACACTGGGTCAGACCAAAGGTCCATCTAGCCCAGTATCCTGTCTTCTGACAGTGGCCAATGCCAGGTGCCCCAGAGGGAATGAACAGAACAGGTAATCATCAAGTGATCCATCCCCTGTCACTCATTCCCAGCTTCTGGCAAACAGAGGCTAGGACACCATTCCTGCCCACCCTGGCTAATAGCCATTGATGGACCTATCCTCCATAAACTTATCTAGTTCTTTTTTGAACTCTGTTATAGTCTTGGCCTTCATAACATCCTCTGGCAAAGAGTTCCACAGGCTGACTGTGCGTTGTGTGAAAAAATACTTCCTTTTATTTGTTTTAAACCTGCTGCCTATTCATTTCATTTGGTGACCCCTAGTTCTTGTGTTATGAGAAGGAGTAAATAATGCTTCCTTATTTATTTTCTCCACACCAGTCATGATTTTATAGACCTCAATCATATCCCCCCTTAGTCGTCTCTTTTCCAAGCTGAAAAGTCCAAGTCTTATTAATCTCTCCTCATACGAAAGCCATTCCATACCCCTGATAATTTTTGTTGCCCTTTTCGGAACCTTTTCCAATTCCAATATATCTTCTTTGAGATGGGGTGACCACATCTGCATGCAGTATTCAAGATGTGGGCGTACCATGGATTTATATAGAGACAATAGGATATATTATTATCTATCCCTTTCTTAATGATGACCAACATTCTGTTCGCTTTTTTGACTGCTGCTGCACATTGAGTGGATGTTTTCAGAGAACTATCCACAATGACTCCAAGATCTCTTTCTTGAGTTGTAACACCTAATATAGTTGGGATTATGTTTTCCAATGTGCATTACTTTGCATTTATCAACAAGTCTCCATTTTGCACATGTAAATGTGGGGCAAATATGCATGCCCACTGTTACAGAATGTGCTGTGCTTTGAAAAACGGGGCCCATGAAACAGTGTTCCGCTCAAGCACTGATGCAGGCTGCCCTCATACTCTCATTTTTATTCTTTCAGTAATAAACAGGAATAAGCACACAGCTGGTTGGCGCACAAAGGATCCTGCAGTCCTAAATCTCCAAACTTCACAGCTCAGCTGCACAGCATTTCAACACAGAGAAAGAGGGACCCACTGTGGCCAGATGGTAGAATTTCTATTTCTTAATTCTATCCATTCTCACTTTTGTTGATCTTCATCCTTCTTGTCTGTCAACCAACTTGGCAGTGGAAGAAATCTGGTTCAGAGTATGCCCACTTCTATCCACCTATTTGAAAGACAGGTGTTTTCTTGGGATTCTGTTTCCAGTGAATATGTTACTGGACTATTCTTCAGCAGAAATTTCACCTCTTAAATGTTTCTGAGCAATAATCATAGCTCTGAGGGAAGGTGAGGCATTACCTTCTGCTTTCAGGATGCAGCAAGGTTTTTGCCAGAGGCATCTTCGATAACATCAGCAACCACCTCAATGGTTTGTTAACTAGGGTAAGGGGGAACTGGCTGATCAGAAAGGAGGAAGCATCTATTTACATATCTTAATTAACAGCAATGATGTGAAAGTAAAGAGTGGCCGCTTTGCACAGACAGGGTTGCCTGGACAAAAGCCAGACTCCTACACCAAACAGACATTCTCCTTGACTTGTGCGATCATTACTGAAGGAAAACACTCTTCTTTTCCAGATATTTTTCAGAAGCAATTCTACTTCCCACTGCCTCTGTAGTCTCCAATACATCCCAGACCACTCCTGCTCCCCTTGTGGGCTTCCTTCCCTGCCTAATATTTCCTCCATCTATCCCAGCACCCTATCCCTCAGACTTCTTCAGCTTCCTTTACTGCTTCCCCTTATACAAATATACTATAGCATCCTGTACTACTGGTCAAATACCACAGCAGTATCCGTGCCATGGCGTTAAACACTCCCTTTGCTAATTCAGAATCTGGACCAGTATGACAGAATATTAGAGCCTTTTATTTTTAAATAAACAGAGGAAAACCAGATACTTGATCCCCATTTTAAGCAAACAAGTAGGAATAATTAAGTTTTGCATAAATCCTCAACTAGCTAAGTACAAGAGTTTAATGTGGTTTTGGTAAAAATGTTGCAGGTGCTAATAGGTTCCCCTATCAAAGAAAAACCTACAGGGTGCCATGATCCCTGGGAATGTTGTGGAGGAAGAAAATTCCCAAAAGTTTTCTCTCAGTTTCCAACAGATCATTCGATTGCGCATGTGGGTTAGCATGCAGGTGGTTTGAACACAGATTTTTGCGATCTGCCAGAGCCCAAGGCTGTCTACACAGAGCCCCTGTACCTCCATGATGCCCCTTAGTCTCAAGTGAATCTCCCCCATACCCCGGTTAATACAGCAGCAGGTGAGTCATACTGACATTCACTTTGTCCCTTTGCTGGCTGTTGCCTGTATATCCCAAAATACACCTCTACCCCGATATAATGCGACCCGATATAACACGAATTTGAATATAACGCAGTAAAGCAGTGCTCCGGGGTGGGGGGGGTGCGCACTCCGTCGGATCAAAGCAAGTTCGGTATAACGCGGTTTCACCCATAACGCGGTAAGCTTTTTTTGGCTTCCGAGGACAGCGTTATATTGGCGTAGAGGTGTACATTAGCCTACATTTTCAAGAGTAATTAGTGATCTTGTGAGTCCAAGTTGACACCTCAAAGGATTTTCCATGTAGTGGATCATGGCATCAACCCCTGCAGGTTTTCCTTTGATAGGGGAATGCTTCCACTGTCTTCGCTGTGTCCCAGTGAAGCACTGTCAGTGGGCCCCATGGACAAGGGGATGGTGCTGCAGACACATCTGACCCACTCTCCCCTCCCCACATCCCTCAGGGACAATGGGAGATGTACAACAGACAACTCCATGCACAGATGTAGTTGAGGAAGGGATCCAGCTCACAGTTTTGTCATATTTTCATTTTATAGACTAGGGAGCAGATGAGGGGAATAATACAAAAGACTCAAAGCCAGAGTAAGAGTTACAGATTCTAATTCAAGATCTGTTGCATATCATAGAAAAGCTCTGGGTAAGTGTCCATGAAAGTCTGGTCATTTTGCACTGCTGCTGTGGGCAGCAGTGGGAGTGACAAAAATAAGAACAATTTCACTATGTTGCTGGTTGAGAAAGCTACAGGGTCAGTTGCAGCAGATATAGTTACTGGAGCTTTCAAGGAAGAGGAACATGCAGCGACTGAAAAAGGAACAGAGTAGCAGAGAAATTACCCTGGTAATAGCCAGGCAGCCGGGGAAGTCCAGTGCTCTTTCCCAAAGCAAGTCAATAGTGTTTCACTTTCTGAATCAATTGAGGCAGAAGCCACTGCACTGTTTGGAAGAACTTTCTTCTGAATCCCAGCCCAGTAACAAAACCAACTCGGGGGATTTTCTGGTTAAAAAATAAATAAATAAATAAATAAAAATTAATTCCTGGCACTTGTTCCCAGGAACCATGCACCTAGAGACATTTCTACCAGAGATGGATATATGAACTCTCCCCTCCCGATTCTCTCCAGCAATAAGCCAGATACTCTCAAAGGTGTTTAAAAAAAAAAACCCACAGAGGATACCTATGTCTCCAGTGAAGTTTCTGTATAAGGAGCTGTGACTGTAGTCCCAGGGTGCCAGGCTGAGATTGCTCAATTAGGGCAAACTGTAAAGAAGGGCAGACAATCTCCAAAACTGGTGGTTATTCCAATACTTAGATCCACCAAGCCAGAAACAAAACAGCTTCTATAATACCCTATTGGTTACTCAGAAGCCAAAAACACAGTTCCCTTAAAGCAACCCAGCCTTAGGCTTTCTCCCAGACAGCCAAGTCAAATATGATGAGGATTACTAAAAATCTTGTTCATCATATAAAAAGGATCGGACACATTAACTCCCAGGTTAATGAATATTTCAGATCTTACCCAAATACACACTTACGGCCAATTATTATTATCTAAACCAAGATTTATTAAAAAAAGAAGAGAGCGCATATTGGTTAAAAGATCATTATACATACAGGTATGAAGAGAGTTCATAGGTCAGTTTTATAGTACAGATGGTGAGCTTAGAGTTGCAAAGCGTCCTTTCCAGAATCACTTCATTAGGTTATAGTCCAATGTCCATATACAATATCAGAGCTATCCAGAATGGCACTGGAGATCACAGTCTTGCGATTACGAAGCTTAAGCAGATCTGAGATCCCAAGAGTTTTTAATAGAGATTTCCTCTTGACAGCACACAGTCCTTGGACGAACAATAGGCTTTTGAAATAACCTTCTATTTCCTAAGCATTACTAGTAATTAATTAGTACAAGTTATTTATCTATTAAGCAGTTCGTAGACAATTTACTACAAACTTCAAAGAGAAGTATAGACAATGAAATTACTACACCCAAGTTTCACTTAAACGTTAATATTCCTTTTTGATCTCTGAATCAATAGACAGGATTCATCTATGTACATGGTTAACATCATATTTACTCGTTCATTAGCCTGTTCGTTTATAAACTGACCCCCCCAAAGATGGATAGGTAAAAATAGCAAAAACTGTCACCCTTTCATAAGCCGACCCTATATTTCAGGGGTTGGCAAACTCTGGCTCCTGGCCCGTTAGGGTAACCCGCTAGTGGGCCTGGATGTTTGGTCTACCTGGAGCATTCACAGGCACGGACCCCCTCAGCTCCCAGTGGCTGCAGTTTGCCATTCCCAGCCAATGGGAGCTGCGGGAAGTGGCGCCACTTCCCACAGCTCCCATTGGCTGGGAACGGCAAACCGCAGCCACAGGGAGCTGAGGGGCTCCATGCCTGCAGATGCTCCAGGTAAACAAAACGACAATGTATTAGATATTCAATTCAATGATTCCATAGAGTTTAAAATCATCAAATTTTGGTGTAGACCCGTTTATAAGCTGACCCCCGCTCTTTGATGTGTCACTTTTTTACCAAAAATATTCAGCTTATGAACGAGTATATACGGTAAACACATACAATTAGTACTACCTCTAATTCTCTAACAATACAGGTTTGCATGTCAAAACTCTAGTCTATTTAACAGGGCTATGTTAGCTATTGCTAAGGAACAGCCCTAATTACCATTTATATACTTCTCTAATATGTCTTTAAAGGTTCAATTTGGCTAATTTATTCTGCAAGTTGCTTAACCTTTTCTGGCTCTGTGTCACAGGAGCTCTTTAAATCCTAGAAGTAGTACCAATATTTTGGCACCATGCCAAAATCAGTCGCTCTCTGACTGTATAGTGCCTATTTCCACTTTTCTGATAACCTGGTACATGGGTGTTTAGCACCTTTATCGCTTACTAAGTCGCAGAACATCTTGGAGATAAATGTACAGCCAGCTGATTGCATTACAATATTTTCTTCAACTGACAGGAAAGGTCTGGAAAACCCAATTGAGAGGGAGGGGTTTAATAATTCTGAAGTAGGTCAGACTCTGAGTTTATAAAAATTGGGCAGTGTCCTTTTAATTACTTCTCTCAGCAAGCAGGAGACATGTTGTCTGATTTCCATGCTGTCTCACCATTACCAAGGTTCTTTGTAAGATCTGTTTTCTTGATTTTTTTCAGGTCCCTGGTTGTTGCCCCAGAGCTGAAGTGAAGAATGAATGATCCAGCAGATCCCTCAAGCCTATTCCTCAACTCCTCCCTGGAAACTTCAGAACAATGTGGCAAAGAGACCCATATAGAGAACATCCTTTTTGCCACTTTTTATCTCCTGGATTTCATCCTGGCTTTTGTTGGCAATACCCTGGCTCTTTGGCTCTTCATCCGGGACCAAAAGTCAGGCACTCCAGCCAATATTTTCCTGATGCATCTTGCTGTGGCCGACCTGTTTTTTGTGCTGGTTCTACCCACCCGGCTGGTATATCACTTTTCTGGCAATCACTGGCCATTTGGCGAGATCCCATGCAGACTCATTGGCTTCCTTTTTTATCTCAACATGTATGCCAGTATCTACTTCCTCATGTGCATTAGCGTTGACCGCTTCCTAGCCATCGTGCACCCTGTGAAGTCCATTAAACTCCGCAGGTCACTCTATGCCCACTCGGCATGTGCCTTTCTTTGGGTTATAGTTGCTGTCGCAATGGCACCTCTGTTGGTCAGTGTGCAGACAGCTGAGATGAACAACACAACTGTCTGCCTACAGCTCTACAGAGAGAAGGCATCACGCCATGCTCTCGTGTCCTTGGCAGTGGCATTCACCTTTCCATTTATTACTACAGTGACCTGCTACTTATTGATTATCCGTAGCCTGAGGAGTGGGAACAGAGTTGAGAAGCACCTGAAGGAAAAAGCCATCAAGATGATCATAGTTGTCCTAATGATCTTTCTGGTCTGCTTCGTACCCTATCACATCAATCGCTACATTTACATTCTCCATTATGACGGCACCAAGACTTCCTGTGAAACCCAGCGAGTCCTGGCACTCAGTAACCGCATCACTTCCTGCCTCACCAGCCTGAATGGCGCCCTTGACCCAGTGATGTATTTCTTTGTTGCTGAGAAGTTCCGTGAGGCCTTGTGCAGCTTGTTTTGTGGCAAAAGAGCTGCAATGATGCCTCCAAGTTATGAGGGGAAGACAAATGAGAGCTCACTAAGTGCTAAATCTGAACTATGAGATCATATTTGTTGTCACTTCCGGGCACAACACAGCCAGAGAGAGTAAAGGCAAGTGACTCCAAGGACAAAAATGGTATCCCCAGAGTCAGTATCATTCTTGCAATATCAAGGAGGAGAGTTCAGTTATTCTATGCAGCTACAACCAGCAAGGGCTCATCTCTGCCAGAAGACAGATTGTAATCTCTATAAATCGCAAGACATCTAACCATGAATGCAACAGCAGCAGCATCTGTTGCCCAATCCTGAAGCTGAGGCCTGAATATTTAGGGATGGAGGAAGGAAACAAGAATGTAATCAATCCATGATTTCTCCATCTAAGAGTTTTATACTCAAGTCTCATTCAAGCAAATGTTGGCCACCCTGAGAAACAGAACAACTGGAATTCAAGGACTAAGATTCAGTGGGTGATTGCCCCCTGCCCAACAAGCACACCCTCCCCTGAAATCCTATGTTGTACCAGCCAGAGAGATTCAGTCCTGGGATATCAGAAGAGAATAGTAGTGTCTCTAGATCTATTGTGAATATTTGTAGAGAGTTGGGGGGATATGGTATGCCTATTGAACAGGGGAAAGGGGAAACCTGTGGCTGGAATAAATGGGAGACATCCTGATTCCCCAGGGATGTCAAGCTATTGTCGCCACAGGCCTCTTGTCTATGCTGAGGATTTGGGCATGAGCAGTAAACATCATGCTAATATTTCAACCTGTCCTTGGGTTTGTGGTTTAAGGCCCCAGGAGCTGTCTTCAGTTATAAGGCAGCATCTTCTGAATGAGCCTTGGGGTGTAGTCCTGTTTGAATTATCAATCACCTTAATAATCTCAGGCTAAAATAAAAGGGAATGGAAAGAAGTCTCATGAAAAAAATCAGTAAAGGGAATATCTTCCATTGGTTTATAAATGCTGAACCTAAAACTCTGAATCCCTGTAAAAAAATTAGCCAAGAAGATGAAAAGTAGATGTGCTGAAAGTGTGAAACGCAGGCTGCTTGGGGAAAGCCTTAAAGCTCTTTAGAGTGTTTTATTTGGTCTGAAAAACATTTCATTTGCTACATATGATCACTAACCTAGTTTAGCTTAACTACCCTCACTAATAAATGTTGCACCAATGGAACACATCTGGGTATTAAAACAAGCAGGGGAGATAGGAGAAATCCCATGGTATAAAAGGAGAAGAGCAGAAGAAACCATTATGTCCACTAGGAACCTTGCTAAGCCAATCATATTTGCCTCTCAAATGCTTAGGTACGGCAGTGATGAGCATGATAGAAAGCCATATGATAGCTCAATCTTATTTACATATTCTACCCATGACATTGGGAAAGAGCTCTCATGTCTCCAAGAGTATGAAATCAAACAGCTTTTTATCTTGGTTAAGTTTCTGGAATCCTGACTGCTTTCCCAGCTGGTACCCAGCACTGCTCAAAGGCACTAGCCAATCAGAGACACAAGCCAAGAAGCCAAAAGGAAAATCCATTAACTGTAATTCTGGAAGCCTAGAGACTGGTGTTATATGGAGGATTACTTGAACGGGAAGTAATTATGGAAGGTTCCCTGGTGGACAGGGTGAAGCAAATAATCCTCTTTCCTTTTCCCACGTTGATCATGTCAGCGGGTAGAAACATCAACTCAATGACTTTCCCAACCCCTGCTGGACAGAGGTATAACAGTCTGAAGTTAATCCACTGTGCTTCAGAATTCAAAGCTATCTGCCAAACTGTCTGTCTCTCTTCTTACCGGGATGTGATTTTGTACTGTCCTGTTTGTATTATTTTTGCCATTAATTTTTTTAAAACAAAAAACTTTTTGGACTTGTTCATACTTATTATACACATGTAAAATAAATAGTTTAAAAGGATCAGTGAGAAGATGGTCTTTATATTAACAGAGGCTCCCCCTCAGTCTCTTATTATGCCCAGGGTTCCCACTCAATCAGCAGAGACATGCCCCTTTATCTCTCACATGCAGACCAGCATCATGCCTGGAATCCTTTCCCTTTCCAGCCTTCTGCCCATTCACCCAACTCTATCCACAATCCACTGGCATTCCGCCTTCAGGCCCCTCCTCTACCCATATGTCCTTGGATAGTCAGTGTCCTGTCCATTGCCCTTTCTCTACCCCATCTCTCACTTTCCAGCCACTCAGTCCTACTCCGGGCTTATTCTGTGCCTTTCCATTCTTCATCTGCCACTGTGTTTTTGTTTTATTGCGCTAACAGACCTCCTGTTCCCACATCCACAATGTACCGGGCTAAGCCCCTGTGGCTCTGCTCTCTCTTACCTGCCAGCATTTTTTACGAAGCCTAGGTCAGCAAGTGCCACATCACAGAGCTCACAACGGAAGCATTCTGGGTGCCAATTATTATTCATTGCCTTGATCACACGTCCAATAATGAACTCACCTTGGAAAGAAAAACACAATCCTTAGATGCAAACAGAACCAATTTGAGCAAAAAACTCTCCCCACATCCACCACCATTCCTTTTCAATGCCACAAGGCCCAGTATATTCTGATTTGCTGAAAATACCACTTCCTCCCACAAGAGTACCAGAAGAACATCTTCATTTTTAACCACTGCCAGAGTAATTCTTTGTTACTGTCCAGAGAGCCTGATGCTTAGGATGACCCTTGGGTTAAAATTTTCATCCCCAGTGATCCTCTGCCCCATGACTTCTACTCAGGGAAGAGAAGAGACTACATAGTTTTGCACATGGAGATCTTACCACATTGCCCACAACAGGGTGCAAACAGCATCTGGAAATCATGCTCACAATACTTTCGACCCTCAAACTGTTAACGAAACAAAGGAGAGAAAATCCTCAGTGAATCACAAACTGTCCACTATAAAAATTCAGACTATTATTAGAGCTTGCAGGTGACAAACTTGTAAAGGTTAAGCAAGTGTTTTCATTTCCAACCCATTCTTCAGTTGCTTGTCATTGCCTTGAAAAAAAATCCTTTGTCTCAGCCCCATGGAGAATTTTCTTGGACAATGGAGTCAAATCAATGCAGGTATGTTTAATATGGGCAAAGGTGCAGGGGAAAGCAAAACCAAAACATACACAAAACTCCACTGTTCCTATAATTAGCTTTTCTTGCCCTTTTCTTCTGGGTTCATATACCTCAAAAGAGCTCAAACTTGACATGATTGTTGTCCACATAGAAAATGAAAAAGAGCTTAGCATTTTAAAAATTAGATAGTTTTCAAATTACATGTTTGTACATGTGCTATAGAAAAATTTACAGCTCATTTTCAGACAAGTTCACTAATTTTGGTTACCTAACTTGAGAAACCTTGTGCCAAATTTTCAAAACACCCAAGAACCCACTCATGCCTTATTCCCATATGCAATGTTGAGCACATTATTTTTCTTTCCTCCCCTTCTCCCATCCCCCACTTTTCTTAAAAAAGAAAAAAGGGAAACCAGGAAATTAAATACAGAAAATTAAGTTAGTGCAGTATTAGGGCTCAGAAACTGAACATGCAAAATCAGGAAATTAAGAAGTGAAGATTCTGACAGAAACGTTAAGCCCCAGCTTTTTAAAGGAGACCATTTTCTTCTCTGGCGCACTAGACACCCACAGAAATTGTGCCCACATTATTTGCAACCATAATTAATTGTGGATGCAAACTCTACCATTTAGGTATTTAAGTACCTGTCCTAATTTGGGCTTACTACCCATCTCTATGCTAGTATTTATGCCTAAAACTTTATATGAACAAAACACAGGGACAATTTTAATATGTGTGAAACTGAGATCCATCTGAAAACTGGGCCCTAGAAGGATGCTTTCAGGTCAAATCTGGCCAAAAATTTAGACTTTATAAAACGTGCCTTTTAATAAACAGGATGTGCATGCAATGTGGTCGAGTTAACATTGATATAGGAATCTTGCGTTATGAATTTCCCAACATCTACATGGTTCAGTCCTCTATCTTAATGTGCTGATGTATATTTTTTAATTTAGTTTTATATTCTAAATATATATTTTTCTGTTCCACTGCATCCTAATTTTGCTTAATTTATGTATAGCCGGGATGAGGGGGAAATGACTTTAATACAACTCTGGATTTGTCAGTCAAGTCAATGATAATGAAGTTTAGGATCAAAAGAAATGGAAATCAACAAGATTAGAGAACTGAAATTCTGCATCCCCACAAAGTCTCCCCAATACTGGTCAACTGGCCAGACAGATTTCCCAAGGAGGAAGACAGCAGTACATTTAAACATAAGGCTATTTTAGAGTGTGATCATTTCAAGGTTAAGAGAGACAGAAGCCTATGGGGAGGGAAAAGGCAGAGGGGACTGCTGAAAGCACAGGACCCATTTGAGCTAATATGGAGCCCCCATGACGCAATCTGACCGGGCCCCTCACTGAAAAGATAAGATTCTGTGGACAATCTCCCGCATCGTCTGCCCCACCAACTTCGTGGAAAGAGCCAGGGGAAGAACGTGGGAGAGGAATGAGTAACAAGTCCAGATACAGAGTGTGCGTTTGTGCAGAACTGAAGGAATAATTGACAGTGATTTCCTGACATGAGGATGTGGGAACCTGAAATGTATCTTAGCGGTCACATGATAATGATAAAAATCACAGTGTTGCTTTTCTCTCACCCTGAACAAGCAGCTATATTAAAATAAGGGAAATGGTAATATCCTACAGCTACAATGCTTCTTCCTATCCCAGACCCTCCTGCCTGGCTTCCTGCTATGGTTTTAAAGAAACAGTTCCTGTATGCTCACATCAGCCAAGGTCACGAAATAGAAGGAGAAGATTGAAGGGGAAGGTTGAAAAAGAGAAGATTGAAAAAATTGGGTTTGTTTAGTGTGGAGAAGAGAAGACTAAGGGTGGGGGGGACATGATAGTAGTTTTCAAGTACATAAAAGGTTATTGCAAGGAGGAGGGAGAAAAATTGTTCTTCTTAAACTCTGAGGATAGGACAAGAAGCAATGGGCTTAAATTGCAGCAAGGGCAGCTTAGACTGAACATTAGGAAAAACTTCTTAACTGTCAGAGTGGTTAAGCACTGGAATAAATTGCCTAGGGAGCTTATGGAATCTCCATCATTGGGGATTTTTAAGAGCAGGTTGGACAAACACCTGTCAGGGATGGTCTAGATAATACTTAGTCCTGCCTTGAGTGCAGGGGACTGGACTAGAAGACCCCTCGAGGTCCCTTCCAGTTCTATGATCTCATATCTGCAGGGAATTACAGTTATCTCCATTGATCTCCCAGTCAGCATAGAGCATCTCACACTCCCATGTCATGTGGCACTGGACCATGAGCATTCCACCTTGACCTGATGAGGTAGCCCCTCACTCCGGTGACTTAAGAGGCCCCTGCTGCTTCAGATTTAGCAGCAATGTCTGACCCAGCCCTCTGAGAGGGCTAGTTACACTGGGAAGGAAAAGGCAGACAGAAACAGTGATAGTGGGCAAAGAATGACACTTGAAGCTTTATCCTGTCCTGTTGAGTGCTCTCAGTTTTCACAGAGTTCACTGACAGCCACTGATACTCAGCATCTCCCAGGATTGGGTTTTTAAAGGGGGAAGTCAAGAAACTTTCAATAGCTTCACATAGGCAGTAACCTCACCTCATAGAAGAGTCCATCTGGGAACTGTCGGAAACACTGAGCACAGACAAAGCAGTTCTCATGATAGAGCTCCCCATTGCTGTTCACGATCCTCTCCGAGGGATCAAAGCGAGCCTGGCAGCGCTCACAGACTGCATTTGCGAGGGCATCAGACATATTACTGAGAAGGAAATAAAGGTCAGAGTCAGAACATGGGCAATGTCACACCTATCAAATGAATATGCATACATCACACAAGTAACATTACAGTCACCAACATCTTTTCATCCCTTTTTGCACGAATAAGTACGATGAAAATAATGCAGCATGCAAGGGAATGGAATCAACAAGTTATTCAGAATCAACATCTGATATCTGTTTACATTTGACACAGGTGGAGGTGACAGCCACATAGTAATTTGCAGAGCTATATGATGGATTCATTTATTTTTCACCTTTGACCACCTTGCCTGCCCTCTGTCCACAAATCCCTGTCCTACCAACTTACTCCAGACACCCTCCATTAAAACACAAAATAAATGAAAACCCCTGCAGAGAAATGTTTTCTCCTTTTCTCCTCAAATGTATAATTGCCCCACCCCCTTTCAACAAACATCACACTTGCCTGAGGCCTACGATGGGAAAACATGAGTCCAGGTGTTCTACGTATTAAAATGTCACAGCGTTAAAGTCCTATCTCTCATGTCCCTGCAGAGCTAGGAATGGCAACTTCAAAAAATGGGGAAGATTCCCAGTTTCCTAATGGGATCAGCTTGATTTTAAAATTTGGAGTATCGAATATGTGAATTTAAAATGGTGTGACGGGTTCGATCACAGAGACCCCCTTGGGACTGTCATCTGGCATGCTGAAACTACCTCTGAGCCCCTTTTCCCTGTCAGCTTGGGACTCCAGAAACCTGTCTTGTTGACACGCATAGGGTTACCATATCTAACAAATAAAAAAAGAGGACCCTCCACAGGCCCTGGCCCCGCCCATTTCCCCACCCCCACCCTAACTCCACCCCTTCCCCGCCCTAACTCCGCCCCCTCCTCCCTCCCACTCCCAGCCACACGAAAAGGGCTGCCCGAATGCTACTGGCTTCATGGTTTGCCGGGCAGCCCCCAGACCCTGCGCCCCCAGCCGGGCACTTCCACCCCCGGGCTCTGGCCGGCCAGCGGCCGCAGGGTGGGGGG